CCAGGAGGCGCTGCAGCTCTGTCAGGTGGGTCTTCTTGTTGCCAGTGGCCGGAGCCGCGGCTGGATCCCGGCCAGCGTACCTGCGGGGGGGAGGGGGGGTACCGTGGGGGCACAGTGAGCCCAGAGCCTCAGCCCCCGCTGAGCCAGCTCCCAGGCCCCGCCCCCATTGCCCCCAAGGCAGCCAGTTCCCAGGGCCGCCCCCAGCCCCTGCTCACCACACTGGCTTGGCACGGCTGATGGTGGTGCGCAGCCGCGGCTTCACGTAGTCGTAGTAGCCCTGGTTCTTGTGCTCCTCCTGGCACCAGGCCAGCTCAGCGTTGGGGTACTTGCGCACCTCCTGCAGCAGCAGGTCGAAGGGGAACGGGGACAACTGCAGAATGAGGGGTTCCCGTCAGAGGGGATGGGGCCTCGGGCAAGGAGGGATGCTGGCCCCCACCGCAGTGCCATCTGCCCCCACCTGTTCAATCCTGGTGATGGCCACCTGCTCGGCCATGCCCCGGGCCTTCCGCTCGCGGGTGAGGTCATAGTACACCTTGCCGGTGCAGAAGAGAAGTCTCCGGACGTTTGCTGGGTTCTGAGCCGCCAGGCCGTCTTCTGGGATCACCCGCTGGAAGTGGGTTCCTACAAGAGAATCCCCACGGCCGGGGGTCCTCTCAGGACCTGGCTGAGGGCACCCAGGGCCCACTGCTGCTGCTCGTGCAGGAGCCGGGCCCCCGGGGCAGCCACGCGAGAACACCAGCTCTGAACACCAGCTCTGAACGAGCACCAGCCTGGGGGAGGGGGCCCTGGAATCCTTCCGGACCCAGAGCGCCTTGAGAAGCACATCGTGTGCAGTGCATAGTAGGCAAGGCCAGCCCCAGACAGCAAGCAACACTGGTTCCTTCCTCCCAACAGGAGGGCAACGAACTCTGCTCACTCGGCTCAGATTCCCCACGAGGTACAAACACCGAGCCTTCCGCGTAGCTGGAACACATACTCAGCTTTCCAGCGCTGGCCCGGCCAGGAGAACCAGACTGCCCTCTGGAAGGGGCATCCAGAAAAGGGTCTCACTTAGTGATACACACATGACACATGCACAATCGTGCTACAGGAACTTTGCCTGTGGAATATAGGCCAGATACAAAAAGCCCACCACGAGCACCAGACTTGGGGGTGACAGAGCTCTTCCTCTAAGATCAGGAAGAAGACAGGGACGCCCACGGCCACCACTCCTGCCCAACCTCATGCTGGAAGTCTCAGCCAGACCAGTGAGGGGAGAAAGGAAAATGAGAGGCCTCTGAACTGGGAAAGGAAAAGGTAAAACAATCGGTGTGTAGATGGCCAAAACCCTAGAGATTAGAATAAACCAACCCAGCAAAGTTGCAGGATAAAAATGTCCATACTCAGTGCTCAGTTGTATTTCTGCAGACTAACAACGACTAATCCAAACACGAACCAGAAAGCCCATGTGCACCAGCATCGACGGGATAACCGGAAACGGTGAGGACTTGGGATAAAAACTGTAAGTGCTGCTGAAAAGCACTGAAGACACAAGTGAACAAAGACGCGTGTCCTGGGGGGTCAGGCTTATTGCTATTCCGTAGTGACGTACCTGATGCTGGATTAGTAACCTCCACACACCAAGAACCACAATTCAACAAGGCAAACAGCCTAACTCAAACTCAGGTGAAACCACGCACAGATGCTTGTCCAAAGCGGACGCCCAGATAGCCAGCAGACATGCGTGAGGGGGCTCAGCATCACTGTCACACAAGTGTAGAGACGAGCTCTGGCGGGCTGAACGTGAGATGGCGTGGCCGCCGTGGACAACAGTTCCTCAAAATCCCACGAACAGAATTACGTGGGTCCCCGCTCAGGGATGGGCCCAAGTGAGTGGAAAGCAGACTCCAGAAGAGGCGTCTGTACACCCACGTCCACGGAAGTGTCACTCTCAACTGCTCGAACGTGGGAGCAACACCATGTGCACCAAAGGATGAACAGTCCACTCGAGCAAACCGCCCAGACAGGGTAGGTCAACAGCCACAGGGCGGAAACGGTCCCGGCACCTGCTCTGTGATGCCTGCAGGGCAGGACGGGAGCACAAATGGCCAGACACAGGAGGACATGAGCTGCACGGCTGCACCCACGTGCAGGGCCCCTACCGGGTGACCCAGGCACAGCAGCAGGGTGGTAGCCACTGGGTTTGGGGGGGTTCAAACAGACTGGGGAGGCTTCACCTCGACTGAAGATGAAGGCAGCTGCCCGGCCCAGGGGCCTGGGGTCTCTGTGGGTCTCACGGCAGGCCCCCCTCCTCAGAGTGGGGGAGATCTTAGCTGACTTGCTCTGCCACCTCTGAAGGAGGCCTGGGGCGCCCAGGCAAAGGCTGCAGACGGGGGCGGGGGCACAACACGCAAGCGCAAACTCTGGCTTCTGGGCCGTTGCGTTCACTGGTGTGTGTGCAACGACCGCAGGAGACCGTCACCACCCTACCCCCGGCATACCCACCTGAGAGCATCTCGTCGAAGCTGGTTCTGGCCTCGGGATGCCGCAGCAGGGACTTGGGGGTGAAAATGATGAGCTGGAATGGAGGAGCACAGGCCCGTGATGGGTCAGGCCCCATGGGGTCCAGAGGGAGGCCCACTGTGTGGCCAGGAGCCCCGCATCCACTCTCTCAGCTGCGCTGAGTGCCGGCACCCTGGCCCTGGGCCCCCAGCCTCTCCTCGGGGTCCCCACCCACAGCCAGGCTCTGTGGACTGTGGGTCCTTCACACCCACTTCCCCTTTAACGTCCCGCCCAGGAGCCCGCTCACTGGGACCCTGCCTGGTGTAGCACCCACTATCCCCCACCCACAGGTCTATCCCCCTGCTGGGCAGGGGCCCTGGACTCCTGAGGCCCGGCCTCTGCACAGGGACGCCCTGACTGACCGGCTTCCGGAAGGGCAGGAGGATCTGCCGCCGCAGCACATGGAAGAAGTTGCCGGGCGTGGAGCAGTTGACGACGATCCAGTTGCAGTCGTACAGCTGGTTTATGTCGAAGTTGGCCTCCTCCAGGTTCTGCAGCATGAGGGAGAGGCCCCAGCCCTGCCTCAGGCACCATGGCTGCCCTGGCAGGGTGCGCGCACGAAGGGACCCCACCAGGAGCTCTGGCAGCAGCCACACGCTCTCGTTGAGGTTCTGTGTCCTGTTCCCTCCCTCCTTCCCTCCCTCCGTCAGTCCTGAAATTGCCAGAACTTTCCTCTACAGCATCTGCCTGAACCCATCTGTGCACAGCTGCTCCTTGCAGGCCCCTGAGGCAGCACCCACAGCAGCAGTACAGAGCCTCTCACTCCGGGGTGGGGGTGGGGGGAGGGTGCTCTACTCACTGGTAGGACGTCCGGGTCGTCATTGCACATCTGCAGGAACCGCTCTGGCCGGGCAGAGGAATGTTCTGGACCCTGGAACCAGACACACAAGTTATAGGCAGAAGATGTATTTGCAATGTCTCTTCCTTAACGGACTTGGGTCATTTCTGGTCTGAAAAACACCAACTTCCATCGACCTGCTGGCATTTCGACCCCTTTCCTGCCCCCAGAGCATGGAGGGGCGCTTCTGTGTCAGGACAGGGCCCACAGCCTGGCTCCACACGGCTCCTCCCGTGGGGTCTCGGCAGTGAGGACAGTCCTCCTAGGCGCAGGGCGGGGACAGGGAGGTGGCAGGGCGTTTGAGCTGGTGTGACCCGCACTGGCACCCCTGCTTCCCTCCAGAGGTGGAGTGGGACCTACCACCTGCCCTGGGGGGCGGGGGGAAGAAGACCGCACCCTGGGCGGGAGGGAGGGCGGGGACTCACCATGCCCTCCATGCCGTGGGGCAGCAGCAGCACGATGCCGTTCTGCCGCACCCACTTGGCCTGTCCTGGGCAGATGAACTGGTCGATGATGCACTGGGCCGTGTTGTGGAAGTCACCAAACTGTGCCTCCCAGAGGACCAGGGCGTTGGGACTGGCCATGGCAAAACCCAGCTCGAAGCCTGCAGAGCGCGGAGGAGGAGGGTGGAGGGAGGAGAGTGGACCTGAGCCTACAGGCGGGCGGGCAGGGGCAGCAAGGGCTGGGCCTGAGGGACGTGGCACTCACCCAGGACCCCGTACTCAGACAGCGAGCTGTTGCACACGGTGTAGGGAGCCTGGTTGGGCCAGAGGTGGTTCATGGGGATGCAGGTCTTCTTGTCCACGTTCTGGTCATGGAGCACATGGTGGCGGTGGCTGGGGTGGAACAGCACAGGGTAGACGAGGGAGTTGCAGGGCATTGGACCGACGAGGAGACCCAGGCAGTAACTCGTTCTCAGCCGAAGTGCCCCCATCGGAGCAGGGAAGGGGTGTGTCTGGGCCAATAACGGGACTGCATGGCTGCTTCCCAGCAGTGATTTTCTTCTCAGGATAAATGCCAGGGCCCTCCCCTTCTGTCCCCTGCACTTCACTGGGGCCACGAGATCACGCAGTTACCTAAAGGTGCCTCGCTCCACATCCTGGCCGCTCAGTCGGATGTGGATACCCTCCTTCAGGAGGGAGCCGAAAGCCATGTACTCCGCCAGGGCCCAGTCCACGGTCCTGTTCTTCACCAGCTCCCCGCGTGTCTTCAGGATGCGGCTCAGCCCTGTAAAGACGACGCTCACCAGCTGCCCGTCACACCCCCTCGTGATGAGAGCTTGTGGTGTCTCCTCTGCCCCAGCCCCTGGGGTCCTGACTCCCTCCCAGGGGGCAGAGGCTTCCTCACCTCCATGAATGGTGAAGTTCTCCACGGGCACGGAACTGGCCACGTTCCCGATGTGCGTCAGAATGTCCTCTGTCAGGCCCGTGGGCGGGCAGGTCATGCTCCTCGGCTGCCCGTCCAGGGTGAAGAAGCCTATGATGGGAGGCCCAGCTGACGCACAGCCACCACCGTCCCAGAACCAAACTGTGGGCCCTGGGGGCGCTGTGGGGGTGGGTGAGGGGCGCATGGTAACGTCCCCGCTGCTCACCAGGCCAGGGGGAGTCCAGCCAGTGCTTGATGTGCAGGATCTTCTCGTCCTTGGACCTGGTGAAGGCCTCCTCGCAGATCTTGTCGTACTTGGAGATCTCCTCCTGGAGGGCGGGGCACAGCACAGCTGTTGGGGGCGCTGCGCAACAGGCTCCAGGGTCCCCGTGTGCACAACCACTCAGAGGCCAGCGAGGAGCTACCGTCCTTTTCTGTGCCCAGCACCTTCTTCTCCAAGTCTGGGGAGCCCCCACCCCCACCCCGCTGGCTTCCTTGCAAACTGGCCCAGTTCATAGGACTCCTAGCACCACTGGGAGAGGGGAGGCCCGCGGCGCCACCCCATCACCAGCCCTGACCTCCACACGGCCACCACGGCCAGCCCTTCCTGCCTCTGTGCCCTGAGCATGGGCACGAGCCTCTCTAAACCTGTCAGGAGTGACCAGATCCACAACAGGCCCTTTACCTGCCCCTGCCCGCCCCCGGGCTCTCAGGACCCACCTCTTTTGTGAGCTCCCTGCAGCCGCAGGACAGTCAAGAAGTGACAGTTGTAAATATTGCACACACTCTCACTTGGGGCCTCCGGCCGGCCGCACCTCATACTCACCTCGTACTCAGGCTGGTTGACCACGCCCTGGGACACCAGCAACTCCGCATACTTCTGCAGCACTGGCTTCTGCTTGCGGATCTGCTTGTACATGAGCGGCTGCGTGAACATGGGCTCATCCATCTCGTTGTGGCCATTGCGCCGGTAGCACACCTGGACACAGCCCAAGATGCCAGTGTCAGAGACACACAAGCGCCTGCCCCCAACTCCTGTGTGATGCCTCAGTGCACCTCCTCTAGAATTAGGGTCTATGTCTCCTTCACACCAGAGTTGCTCTGTCACAGGAGATGGAACAAGAGCGACCTGGGGACACCCTGGGATGAGACCCCAGCTACTTTCTTTCCCGGGCATGGCTCACCCAGACTGGAGCCTCGGGAGCTCTGGGGAGGGGTGGCAAGGCGAACCTGCGCCAGGGAGCCTGGCCCTTCTCTCCCTGGCTCAGACGGGGGTGGCTCACCAGGTCCACCACCACGTCCTTGTGGAATGTGCTCCTCCACTCGGCTGCCACCTTGCACACGTACATGACGGCCTCTGGGTCGTCCGCGTTCACGTGGAAAATGGGGGCATTCACGACGCGGGCCACGTCAGTGGGGTAGGGTGAGGAGCGGGCCATGCGCGGGTCTGTGGTGAAGCCGATCTGCAAGGGACACCCAGGCAGGGTGGGCAGAGCGCCACCAGCTGGCGGCCACCCGGCTGCACCAGCCCCACCAGGTCCCCAAGTCCCTGTTTAGGGTTACTTATTTATTTATTTATTTATTTGTAAATTTACATCATTATTTTTTTAATGTTTACTCATTTCTGAGAGAGAGAGAGAGAGAGAGAAAGCACGTGCGCGCGAGGGAGAGGGGGAGGGGCAGAGACAGAGGGAGATACAGAATCCGAAGCAGGATCCAGGCTCCGAGATGTCAGCACAGAGCCCGACCTGGAGCTCAAACTCACAAGCTGTGAGATCATGACCTGAGCCGAAGTCAGACACTCAACTGACTGAGCCCCCCAGGTGCCCCTAGGTCTTTAAAAAAATTTTTTGTTGTTTCTTATTCTATGAACAAAATTCATACATGTTCAATATACAGAGTTTGCAAAACAGTATAAAAAAATGAAAAGTTAAACAAAGTTGTGTATCTTTCCACCAGCCAGTGGAAATATCTTGATGTTTTTCTTTGCACATGTACACATGTAACCTATGTTTAAAATTCTGAATGCTATTCTCTAACAGCCTATAATAACTAACCCTAACTATACCGTAACCCCCACTTTTCCTCCTGAAGCATTCAGGGTTGAGTTGTAGAATCCCCATTTCCTAAAACAGGGACATGCCCTCACTAGCCTGAGCAGTTCCATGTCCCAAATACATAACCTGAGCCACGGTGTCCACACACACTGTGCCTGATGACCCACCTTTCTGCCCCGGTCCAGCGTCCAATCCAGCACATCACCCCGTGCCAGTCTTGTCTCCCTTCATCTGGAAGGCTCCCCACCTCCTCGGTTTTCCGAGGCACTGGCATTTGTCTATGTTGGTGGCCTGTGGTCAATCTGCTGTTGCTGGACACATTCTTACACAGGGTTGGTCCAGCAACATGGACTTCATGTGCGAACTCTCCCAGCAGGGAGAACTGAGGCACAGGGCGAGCACTGTGGACATTTCTGAACAGCAGTAAACTGCTCTTCAAAAGTGTGAGCATGCGTGTCTGTGCCCCACGCTCCTGCCAGCACAAACGAGTGCCCTGTGCTTCCTCTCACTGCACGGGGACTCTTTCTCTAAGACATCAGATGTTCTAACGCTTATACGGCACTGCCTCCTATGGCTCTGCCAAAAGTTATGCAAAGGCTTCTATCGTCAGGCATATAGCTTATTTCCCACTCTTGTACCAACATGGTTTTGACACACACATAAAAATATTTAGCTCTCGAAGGCTTCCTCAGGAGAGAATTTTAGAAGGTTGAACCTGAGACACGTTCTTAGCAAGACAAGGGCCAGGACGGCAGCCACTTCTCCTGCTACAGATCTTACCGACCCCACGCACGCCATCAACTGTGGCATCAGAATCAGTGAAGAGATTAAAGAAAACCCTTGCTAAACTGAAGCTGTTACAGAAGACTGGGCATCATTTATCACACGTTGCTTTCATGTACTCTCCTTTATCACACTAGCTAAAGAGATGAGAAATAGAAACCGATGAGGATGTTAACTGATGACAGTTCTCATGGACACGTCTTCAACAGTCTCCTCGCCTGGGAAATGAGCACAGGGACTGGTGAGTTAGTGATCACAGCATGCGTGCCGTCTCTAGTGCCTCACAGGAAGGAAACTGCTCTGGAAGGTTAAGACCTCAGGCCCTCGGCTGCCCCCCACCCCAATGTCCGCCAGTTACCAGCTTCTGTGTCTTTAAGCACATACGGATGTGGGCACACACACGTGTGTGTGGAGACGGTGTGCTCTGTGGGTGTGCACGCACACAGACGTAGGGAGATAGGTGTTTACACACAATACCTTTCTGCACGTAACAGATCTTGTAGGTCATTTCAACAGTGTATGAAACAGTTGAAACAGTTTCACTGCGTGGTATTAATCACTTCGATAACTTAGGTCAGTGCTTATTCGTGGGCCAGGCACTATTCTGAGCATTTCATGTATATTAATTTTCATGCGTTAATTCACGTAAGCCATATGACACACATGTGGGTACACCATAAAGTATGTAACCAGCTCCCCATTGATCTAGGGATGGAAATTTTCATGTCTGGTCTTGTTGCATTAGCGATGTCTTTAAAGACATCGTGAGGGCACCAGTGGGAAGACCCCACTGACTGGAACTGCTGGTGTGAGAGCCAGAGACCCTGAGGTCAGCCCTGGCTGGAGCCCTGTCTCCCTCAGCCCTGCGGCTGGTCCCCAGCTGGAACAGAGCTGGTTGCTGAAGTTCTTCCTGTCACTCCACCGAGACCTGATTTCTGGTTGTTAGCACCCATGGTGCCGACTCTGCTGTCACATTCTTGCTGTGTGAATCATTCGCTCACAGGAAAGGAGTCCTCATGCTTCCTGGGTCTTCTATCTTCTGGGCTACACGGGCCCAGCTTCCTGGGAGGGTAGTTTCCAGACACCGCCATCCTAGGACACTCTCCCCTGGATCTGGCCTCAGGTAGGTGCAACCAGGATGCTTAGCTTTCTGTCACAAGAAGTCTGACACACCCAAGGCCTACCTGTACCGTTTTTGTGTAACGTGATTCTTAAATCGGAATGTTATTAAATGTTTCTATTGCAGAGAAGGAGGGTTTCACCTCAGTGATTTAAGAAACCAGGAAGAGAGGCTACATTAAATCCAAAGCAAATAGAAGGAAAGGAACAACAAAGAGCAGAAATCAATGAACTAGAAAAACAGGAAAATACAGAAAATGCAATGAAGCCAAAGCTGTCCCTTTGGAAACAACAACCAATCTACAGCCACAGCAATTGAAAACAAAAAGAGAAAAGACACGAATTATCAATATCAGGAATGAGATAAGGGATTCCAGGACAGATGCTAATAACAGAACATCACAAACTCTAAGGACACAAATTGTAATTGTACGACTTACATGAAAGAAATTACCATAGCTCACTCAAGAACAAACAGACCTGAAGAGTCTTATGTATACTAAAGAAATGGAATTTATACTTAAAAGAAATGTTCTCATAGGGACTTGCACTTCTGGAAGATGAAGGAGGTGAACCTTTCCCTATTCTTCCTACCAAGGACAACGGAAGCCCCAGGACATTATCTGTAGAGTAAACATGAAACTCTGAAGGTAGACAGAAGTCAGACTAGCCAGGGACCATAGGGCCTGAGGAGTGACTCAATGACAGGTCCCAGGACGTCTCCTCCTATACCCTGGGCTGGGTGCTGGAGCAGGTTGCTCGGCAACGCCAGCAGGGGGCGCCTGGGTGGCTCAGTTGGGTAAGTGTCAGCCTTCTTGGTTTTGGCTCAGGTATGATCTGACGGTTCATGGGTTCGAGCCCCTCGCTGGGCTCTGTGTTGGCAGTGCAGAGTGTGCTTGGGATCCTCTCTCTCTTTCACTCTCTGCTCCTCCCTTGCTTGCACGGTCTCTTGTCTCAAAATAAATAAACTAACACCAGCAGGCACAGGCAGGAAAGCCAGAGGACCAAGACACTATTAGACAATCGTCACCCTGCTGCAGCCAGCCCACAGAAAACACCGTGGCCCTTCCCCACCCCCACCCAAGATGCCTAGGAGGTGAGCCTCACAGAAGATTTAAGTAAGATCGGAGTCTCACAACACAATGCTCAAAACATCCCAATGTCATTTGAAAACCAGTGGAATGTTACACCAACACCTGGGAAAACCTCATGGAGTGAGAGAAAGCAATCAGCAGTCAGCAGCACGATGACACACGTTAGAATCACCTCACAAAGACATCACAAAAGATGTCAGGAAAACACTTTGATGAAATTACGAACATGCCTGGCACACGTGAAAAAAATAAAAGCTCTCAGCAAAGACACAGGAGACATAAAGAGAACTAAGAGGAAGTTTAGAACTGAAAAGTAAAGGAAATTGGGGGAAAACGCTGAATGGAGGTCTGTATAGTGGAACAGGGCAGAGAGGAAAGAATCAGTGACCTTGGGATCACCCCAAATCTCAAGAAATAGAGACTGAAGGGCACCATGAACAAAGCCTCAGGAAATGTGGGGTCTAACAACGTGTCTGATGTTGGTGCCGCTGGAGACCCAGAAAGAGGGGTGGGGCTTAATAAATGTCTGAAGTAAGAGACACTGTCTGCAGAAATAAATATAAAAGAGGGGGTGAGAGATCTGTCCTCTGGAAACTGAGGACATTCTGATGAAAGAAACTGATTATGACACAAATAGATATACCATGCTCATGGATTGGCAAAATAAATATTAAAAATGCCCAAACTGCCCAAAGCCACCTACAAATTTAATTCAATCCCTATAGAAATACCAGTGACATTTTTCACAGAAATAGAGCAACCAATCCTAAAATTTATATGGAACTACAAGACCACGAAGAGCCAAAACAGTACTGAGAAGGAAGAACCAAGCTAGAGGTGCCACATTTCCTGATTTCAAATGATACTACAAAGTGTAATGATCAAAACAGTGGTCCTGTCATAAAAACAGACACATAGACCAATGACAGAATGGAGAGCCCAGAAATAAACCCACACCTCTATGGTCAATTAAGTTATGACAAAGGAGCCAAAAATATACAATGAGGAAAGGACAGTCTTTTCAACAAACGGCATTGGGAAAACTGGACGGCTACATGCAAAAGAATGAAACCAGACCACATTCTTCCATCACACACAAAATAAACTCAAAACAAAGACTTGAATGTAAGGCCTGAAAACCATAAAACTCCTGGAAGAAAACACAGGCTGCAAGCTCTTGGATGTTAGTCTTAGTGACTTTTTGGAAATGACACCAAAAGCAAAGAAAACAAAAGCAAAAATCAACAAGTGGGGCTCTATCAAACTAAAAGTTTCTGCACAGCGAAGGAAACCATTACCACAATGAGAAGGCAGCCATGGAATGGGAGAAAATATTTGCAAACTGTATATCAAATTGTATATATGGGATTCATACTCCAAATACATTAAGAACTGATACAACTCAGCAAA